CCTGATGTACCTTGCGATGATGGCAGGTTGCAGATCATTCTTGACAACAGTGTCACCGTCAGTGTTTCCCATCAAGACCTTGCCTCCTTCATAATCTTCAAAGGAGAAGCTGTTCAAGCTATATTGCAAGCTGTAGTTCTTCATCAAGAAATACGGCAGGTGAAATACTTGTGTCGCAATACTTGAAACAATGGTAACCGTGCTCAAATCCACTTGAAGCCACGGGCTGCTATCATTAACCGCGGGTAACCAAAAGTTAGTTGCATTAAGTCGAGCATAATGTGGTAGAAAATCGGGATGAATGTAACTAGAAGCCTTAATGCTTGAATCAGGAATGGCACCACTTTCCATTCCAAGGGCATTACCGCCAGTGCATGATGCTGGAAAAATATTAACACACTTTTAGGTCCCAAGCACGAAGGTCACGTGACACGAAGTAATGTTCACTTCAAAAAGGTTAGCAAGGGAGGCATTTGAAGCTTCATGTGCTACTTGGCGCTTGGCAATACTTTATTTGATATCTGACTGACATATTAATTGCATCAAAACCAGCTGATTTGCCAGCTTTAAAGTTAGATAAGAAAATTGAGAGATCAACATCTGTGTAATAAGATGCAAAAATATTTGATCCGTCTACGTTAACCAGAGTGAAAGTAAACATCTCTCGTCCAGCCATTGCGCTCTTAATGACTGTGATTTTTCAAAATTGAATGCGTTTCATCCAATCAAAAAAAGAATAAAACATGCAATATTTGCTCCCGCTTAAGGTGGCTTCCTGCTACAGAAAAAAATCCATGAAAAAGTTTTTGAATCACGATTTCTTCAACCCAAATTTAATGCTGTTTTCAAATCTGGAAAGAAAAAGGGAATATGCCGAGTTCATATTCGAGATATTCACATTAAAGATAAGCATATCAACAATTTTTGRCAGGAAAAAAAATCGGTAACAAACTTCCTATACGAAAAAAATTCAAAACAACGCAAGTAATCAAACATTTGACTTTTTTTCGGGAATCCTAAATTATAAATCTTTTTCAAATATAAGTAAAATGATTTGGAAATTGTTGAGAAATATTTTGAAAAGAATTTTTTTATTTGTCTACTGCTTGACATTGTTTCTCTAAAACGAGTTCCAAAAATGTACACTTACCGCTTTTTCTATGAGTAAAACTCATGTCATTTTATCCCAAACGTTTTTATAAGTTTCTTTTTAATGTACCCTTTTGGAAATTCGATAAAGAAATATAGAATCCCGTGCAAAAATTGAGAGTTTTGCCCTGTTGAAGTTTAAAGCGTGTATGCCTTAAATAAAACATTGGTCATTCGCAGTCTTGAGCCTTTCCAGTGCGCGCGCATGTCGTTACGTAGGAGCGTGCGCAGTAGCTTCATTATTCTATAGCCGGCAGCCGACTCAGAAAATGTATACCTTATGGGGAATTTTATGAAAATTAAAAGCTTTCAAAGAAAAGGACCTGAATGCGTACTTTGTATTCCTAAATTTCCTTTTTTTCCCCCCCAAGTATTCTAGAACTCCTGCATTTTTTAATTCGTTTCTTTTACTTACGTTCTTCGCACAGTTTACCCGTGAATCCTTGCGGGCAATGGCACTGGAAGTCGTTGCCCACCGTCGCACACGTGCCATTATTTTTGCATCTCGGGATGGCACATTTATCCTTTCAAAATTAAAGAATAATAAACGTAAAAATCAAAATGACC